ACGCTGCGACAAGGCTCAGTTAAAGATATTATCCTATTAGCAGCGGACGAAAAGGTTCTTCGACTCTAAGGTCGGGAAAAGAGACTTTCAGGTCGGTGACCTGGTTCTGAAAGAAGTCCTTCTCAGTACAAGGGAGCCAAGTACGGGGGTATTGGGATCTAACTGGGAGGGCTCATATCGCATCACTAAGGTAATACGACCTGGAACGTATCACTTCAAGAGGCTTAACAGTTTCGAAGTACCACAAGCTAGGAATGCTAAACATCTTCACCCTTATTACTAGTAATTCCGAACCCACTCTTAATCTTGTTCTTTCTTTTGCTTGTAAAGTTTCCCTTGTAATCTTTATGAATAACATCATTCTGCTTTCTCCTGAAGGAATATTTGTGTCATGCTCTTTTGAATGATCTTGTTGATTACAATATTTTTACCAGTAAATATATAATATTAGTCTTGTGAAGTGCTCATATTATAGAAATACTATCGCAAGTGACCGAAAATGTTTCTTTTATATATACATGTCTAAGTAAATACAATGGACAGTAAAAGATAAAAAAAATAAAAAAAAGAGTTAAAAGAAAAGCTATGAAAAACAGAAGAGGCGATCACTGGTCCCCGCCTCCAGGCTCTCTGGGTACGACTTCTATATCCACTGGTTGGTCGCCAACCGCCCGACTAGCTACTTGGTCCTCAAGGACGTGTGCCTCCGGCTAGTCATCCTCCAAAGGAGGCTCTTGTCCCTCTTCCTCCTCGACATCATTAGCTTGGGCCATGGAGGCAAGCATGTCCTGGTATTCATTCAGGATGTCGGAGAGGTCCATCCCCAAATTCCTCAATTGCAAGTTGTAGATAGCTTGTATTGCCCAGTCAGCAGCTCTCTTCTCGAGTTCAAGGTTTTGCTGCTTCATCTGTTTAGTTAATGAAATGACTCACCCTTGGAGCAGCTCAAGATCCACCTCCAGAGCCCTCTTTTGCTTCTCAGAGTTTTCCCACAATCGAGCTGTGTCCTCCTCCGCCTTCTTGGAACACTCAGAGTTCACCTTCAGCTCATTCTCTTTCTCGCCATACTCTCTGGTGAGTCTGGCCACTGTCTTTTGGAGCTCCTTGTTGTCCTCGCCTCTCTTCTCAAGCTCGACTTTCTAGAAGTCCACTGTACGAAGGGCATAATTTCTCTCTACCAAATACTAATTCGCTTGAATGTGGACCACTTTCACCTCTGCGTCCAGAGCCACGAAGTCCTATTTCAACTTGGTATTCTCCTCCCTCAGCTCGTGGAATCCTCCAGCAGAGTCCATATTGATCTTTTGTTGGGCCATGTGTAAGGCAAACAGTGACTATATGAGAAAAGAAACAAGAGTTAAGCCTCATTTTTTCGAAAATCATAAAAGTTAGGAAATCAACTAATTTTAAAAAGTCCTTGACGAGAACAAACTGTTTTACTCGGCTTTGCAACTAAAGTGCGGTAGCCACCAGGTCCGCGGGTTGAGAAGCCATGAACTCCTCGAAGGCCGCAGCTAGTTGGCATTCCAACAAGGTATACACCACCAGCTACAAGTGCTCTAACAGTTGCCCTATGGAATCCAACACAAGTGGGTCTAGTCTCGAAGGAACAAGCACCTTGTCGACCCGTTGTTTGCCCGCTCTCCTTTGGGCAATCGCAACCTCCCCCTCTCCTCTGCGCGAGCTCTCGCGGACTGCCAAAGTGCCAGGGGCACTCCTCAAGGGCACACCCAAGCGAAAAGCCTGGTAAGGCTACAATCCCTTCGGTAGCATCCCGAAGCCCTTTGGCTCGGACTCCAACTCCTCCTCGATAAGCAACTGCTTCCTCTTCCTAGTCTTCTAGCCCATGGTTTGCTACTCACGGTAAGCAACTGCTTCCTCTTCCTGGTCTTCTGGCCCATGGTTTTCTGCTTCGCGGTGCGAGTAGCCACGAGCCGAGAAACTTCTCCACATTGCTCCGTGGATGTTCACCTTTTGGCACCAATATGTATCCCTCCTAAGGGGATATCATCGAGGGTCACCTCGACTGGCTTGGTCAGGTCGACCCGAGGAAATACGAAACCCCTAGTCTTCGTCGATGGCTTTGGAACCTTGGGTGGCATGGTCGCTGCGCGCCATGGAAACATGTTAGGGACCTTTACCTAAAAAAGGGACGGGTGGGGGGGGGGGGGGAAGGGGGGGTGTTCCTAAGTGTGAAGATACTTACGGGCTGGGGGTTCTAAAGATGCTTTCGGGTTGAAGAAACCATACTTTCGCAAGTTCGTAGTAGTCACGAGCAGTCTTGCGACAACTCTATTCGGGTAGACGACAAAACGTCACAATGCGGTTAAAGTCTATCAGAGCTGTCGACTTGGTCGTCTTATTTTCTACAAAGAGACAAAAAGTTCGTTAATTTCACCTATCGAAGAGGAGCTGAAGAAAAAGGGGCAGTTCGCAAATCAAAGGGAAGGAAAACCTACTCAGCTCCCTAAATTGACAAACACCATCGTATACAAAAAAGAAAAATTTGGTCTCATAAGCCCTGACATTACTAGGGTAACCAAATATTCCTCCCTCAATCGAAAATGGCTTTGAGAGGTAAAAAGAGTCTTTATCTTTACTCTTCTTCAAATAGTAAGCACTGCGAGCTCCAGAGCTGTCAGCTCGCCAAGACTATTTTCGCCACATGCGATATATATAGCAGCCGCTATCATATACACATTAGGCGTCAATTGTAATGGCGCGACCTCGAAGTGGTCAAGGATCAATCTGATGAAGGGGTGAAAAGGTATCAACACCCCACACTTAAAGATTGCCTCGGAGATCGCAACCATTCCCTCTGGGGGATTCCCAGCTGTGTACGTCTTGTGCTGATAGACATCTACGCTAAGCATGAACTAGTCCACCGCTTTCTGTATCTCGTCCTGGGTGGCCATTGATAATGTTTGTTGCACGAGACCTGCTGAGGTGCCTGGCGCCTGCTAGCTCATCCCCTCGGCTGCTCTAGTCTCTAAAGTGTCCATTGCTCCTAAAGTCTGAAAAAGGGGTGACATGCAGAGATGACTTAGTCTCCATACAATATCCCGTATGATGACGTGGAAGAGCAAAAGGAACCCTAATTTACTTTCCTTAACCCATAGAAAAGCCCTAAAAATCCTTGAGAATGAATTCCCAAGAATCCATGCCCCAAGTTTTCACTTTTAAAAAAAAAAAAAAAAGTTTTTTGTTTTTACCATTATCTAGAAACATGCATCGTGTAGGTACCAGGCAGTTCATACCCACCATTACTGTAAAGTCAAGCTTTTAACAGAAATAAAAGAGGAAAATGAAGAAGAGTCCTCCTTCCCTCTTGATTGCTGGGGACTAACTTCCTATCGTAACGACGAGTGCGCATCAACTGGAAGAAGAACATACTGATTTCACAAGTGCAAGAGTTTTGTTTTTCTCTCTGAAAATGTGAGTTATGTGATAGAACTTGAAGCGAACCTAAGGTTTTATAGGGGGAAAGATGACGATTGGTTTTCCTAGCAAGCGACGCTTGGGCGAGATACATTTCTCGCCATTGATTATGACCATGTGTCGTTAATCCACGTGAAGAGTAACCTTCACACTTCGTAGATGCCAATTGACGTTTCCCTCTATTGGAGTAACCAAGCGTCGGCACGGTTATTTCCCCTACATTAAATGCGCCCTCATTCGCATTTAATGCTCTGAAAGGGAATGTCATTTCAACATAGCTTGCATTTAATGCGCATGGCTGACACTTATTGCACAAGAGACACGTCTGTCAGAATAAAGTTTACTTTATTGACTAGACCAACTATCTAGCGCAACGGATAACATTTGAAGAGGTTGTTTAAGTAAAACACTCTTCTCCATGTATCAATTTCGAGACAATGTGACCCCTTGTTTTCGGCAAAAGTGTGCTAAGTATTTTCAGGTCGTGAGCGACGAATGAAGTCCAAAGCATGTTGGTATAGCATTGAGCAAGGTCCAACCCACGTCACTGAACTTGTGGGGAAAGGTCGCCTCAGGTCGCTTGTGCTATTCTTAGAGACCTATGCTACGACCTCCTTACAGCTCGCTGGTCGGGTTGAACCACTAGTTTCACATCATCTTAACTGTTTGTCTCATATAGCTCAATCAAGCATCACTCAAGATAAGTCAGGTCACAGCATAATCATGAAGTTCTCAGGGTTCAATCCTTAAACCTTAAGAACTGGGGGGCTTCTGTTATGCCTCAATCAAAGTTTAGGAAGACTTTGTGCCATTTAGACGCTGCCATGTTGCACAAGGACAGAAGAAGTAAAGCTGTCATCAGTGTGGCAGGTGAAAGCTTGACTTGTGAGTGGCTATGAATTGTCCACCTGCCCAAGCCCTACGCGATTTAAGGATATCTCTTATACAGTCAACCAATAGGAAGCAAGGTAGGAATTGTATCACACCTACCCGACTGCAAAATTATGATTATTACCTTGAATCCCTCGACTATAAATAGAAGGCTCCTCTCTCATTTACAGGATCCGGACATTTTTAATCTTCTAAGAGTAGACTCTCTCTCTTTGTATTTAAATTCTCTCTAGATTGTAACTCAGCTCGCTGCCCGCGACATGATTGTAATCATCCATCAGTACAAATATAATGGACGTATGATTCGCTTTTTAGCATCTGAACCACTTTGAAAATTGTCTCTTGTTTATTCTTTCATTGCATATTTTCATATTATGTGTAATTTTTAAGTCCGCTTAGCACTTTACACGTGCAAGTCGTTGATGTTAAAATCAAATATCAACATTAACTATATATAATTATAAACATGGAAATAAAACATTTATTAACTCATTATATTATTAATTTTAAGAAAACGCTTACAGTCCATTACGAAGAAACAAAATTTACTTCATTTCTAAAACTTTAGTTTAGGGAAGTTTTATTATCTAATTAAACCGGAGGGGTCGAGACAAAACCCGTATATAAAGATAACATAACCGGAACCAAAATGGTATAACAGAGCTCCACATATGGTTGGCGCCTTGAGTTCATGGCCACGACCACCACCATTATCCAACCCAAAACCCCCTTTCTTCACTTTTTCTCTGCAGCCCCACCACCGAAACCCAAACCCCACTTCCTTCCCTTCTCCACCGCCGCTTCTGAGCCACTCCTTTCCTCACACCACCAACCACTTCTCTCTTCTTACCCTCTCAACACCCACAGCTCATCTTTGCTCAATTACACTACCACCAATATTGACCTTGACGTTGAGAGCTTCTTCACTTTGCTTCGCTTGTCCGTTCAATACGATGACGTTCCACTTGCCAAAGCCGTACATGCTTCAATCGTAAAACTTCAAGAAGAAGAGTATACTCGTCTCGGTAATCCTCTTATTTCAGCTTATCTCAAACTGGGTCTTACTTTTGATGCTTATAAAGTGTTTAGTGCACTTTTAAATCCCAATGTTGTGTCTTTTACTTCTTTGGTTTCTGGTTTTGCGAAGTCGGGTCGAGAGGAGGAGGCGATTGAGCTGTTTTTTAGGATGAGAGATGAAGGTATTCAGCCTAATGAACATAGTTTTGTTGCTATTTTGACTGCTTGTATTAGACTTTTGGAGTTAAATTTTGGTTTACAAGTTCATGGTTTGATAGTCAAAATGGGTTATTTGGATAGTGTTTTTGTTGCTAATGCACTTATGGGACTTTATGGTAAATTTAGTGGATTGATGGAGTGTGTACTTAAAGTGTTTGATGAAATGTCTCAACGAGACATTGCGTCGTGGAATACTGCGATTTCTAGTCTGCTTAAGGAGCTTAAGTATGAGAAAGCATTTGAATTGTTTCGTGATATGAAAAGAACTGATGGTTTTAGAGTTGATTATATCACAATTTCGACCCTTTTAACTGCTTTTTCTGGGAATTTTGGTTTGACGGAAGGCCGAGCCCTTCATGCTCATGCTATTAGAATCGGGTTAGAGGGCCATTTGAGTGTCAACAATGGGCTTATTGGGTTCTACACTAAGTGTGGAAGTGTAAAAGATGTGGAAGTTATATTTGAGAGAATGCCTATTAGAGATGTTATTACATGGACGGAGATGATTGTAGCGTACATGGAATTTGGGTTAGTGGATTCTGCTGTGGAGACATTTGATATGATGCCTGAGAAGAATTGTGTTTCTTACAATGCTCTTCTAGCTGGATTTTGTAAGAATGGTAGAGGCATGAGAGTGATTGATTTGTTTGTTAATATGGTGGAGGAAGGTTTAGTTTTAACAGATTTCACTTTGACTAGTGTTATTAGTGCTTGTGGGTTGCTCGCAGAAGTAAAATTGAGTGAGCAAATTCATGGGTTCCTTTTGAAGTTCGGTTTTAGTTCAAATGCTTGCATTGAATCAGCATTGCTTGATATGTTGACAAGGTGTGGGAGGATGGCAGATGCTGATAAGATGTTCCACCAGTGGCCATCAGACCAGGGAAACTCTATAAATTGGACATCAATGCTATGTGGGTATGCTCGAAATGGGCAGCCGGAAAATGCAATTTTTCTTTTCCACCGTGGCCAATCAGAAGGACTAATGGTTATGGATGAAGTTGCAATAACTTCAGTACTTAGTGTATGTGGAACTTTAGGGTTTCTTGAGATGGGAAAACAAATCCACTGTCATGCTCTTAAGACTGGTTTTTCTTCCGATGTAGGAGTGGGAAATTCAATAACTAGCATGTATTTTAAGTGTTGCAACATGAATGATGCCATTAGGGCTTTTCATGCAATGCCCTCACACGATATAGTTTCTTGGAATGGTTTGATTGCAGGCCATCTTCTCTACCGACAGGGTGATGATGCCTTGAATGTTTGGTCAAGGATGGAGAACGCAGGCATAAAGCCAGATGCAGTAACTTTTGTTTTGATTATTTCAGCTTACAGATACACTAACTCAAATTTAGTTGATAGTTGCCGTAAATTGTTTCTCTCCATGAAAACCATTTATAACATTGAGCCCAGTTCAGAGCATTATGCATCCTTAGTTGGTGTCTTGGGATACTGGGGTTTCCTTGAAGAAGCAGAAGAAATGGTCAACAAAATGCCTTTTGAACCAAAGATTTCAGTTTGGCGAGCTTTGCTTGATAGTTGTAGAGCCCGCAAGAATACTACCATGGGGAAAAGAGTTGCGAAGCATATACTTACTATGGACCCACAAGATGCCTTTACATATGTGCTTATATCAAATTTGTATTCTGCATCTGGTAGATGGCGTAACTCTGAAATGGTCAGGGAGGATATGCGAGAAAAGGGGTTTCAGAAGCATCCAAGTAAAAGTTGGATTATTCATCAGAACAAGGTGCATTCATTCTACACAAGAGACAAGTCCCACCCACAAGAAAAAGAGATATATAGTGGATTAGAAATACTAATCTTAGAATGCCTCAAAGCTGGGTATCTACCAGACACAAGCTACGTTCTTCATGAAGTTGAGGAGTACCAAAAGAAGGATTTCTTGTTCTATCATAGCGCAAAACTAGCAGCAACCTTTGGGCTTCTGACGACCCAGCCCGGAAAACCCATTCGGATTTTGAAGAACATCCTTGTTTGTGGGGATTGCCATACGTTCTTGAAATATGTCTCAGATGTTGCTAGAAGAGAGATAGTTCTCAGGGATGCTTCGGGATTTCATCATTTTTCAGATGGACAGTGTTCATGTAAAGATTTCTGGTAGTTGATCAATTTACTAATCATCCAAAGCCAATCCCCTTCTTTGTACAGGCACATTATTGAAGTTTTGACATTTTCCCCTTATTTTTGGCAAATCGAAAAGTTTCAAGCTGTGTAGTGTATAGCTTAGATGTGTTTCAATAATTAAATTGTGTAATTCTTCATAATATTAGTCAATACAGGTATTTTGTTGAGGTCTTTCAAGGCTGTTGGGTAAATTGTCATTAATGAAAATTTTGTTCAAGCCTATAAACAGAATGGAGTGAATGTTATCATAGTGTTAGCCTTGGATCAGAGAATGCAAAATAACAATTACACTTCAGGTGTAATTTTAATTGAGTTTAAATGATCTATTAATTCTATTTAAGGATCTCTAACTAGAGAAATGAGTTCTTCTTATGCTGGCCATTCTGTTCTTCTATTTGTCACATTTACACGCTGCGGTTACCTTCTTAAAATTGTCAAAATGAAGCTATAAACCAATTTGGGTGGCTCATGGAAGATGAGCTTGTTAGACTATCTCCAACCCATTGCACAAATTTGGTGCAAATTTTGGTATAAAACACTATTCCATCTCCAACCTACAACACCAAAATTGCACCAAAAAGAATATTTCTTAAAATATTCTTTAGAATATTCTTTTTTTTTCCTTTTATTGTAATAATCAACAATTAATCTATTTCACTCATTATTTTTGTATATATTAATTAAATATTAGGAGTGATATTTTTATTAAATAATAATTATTTTAAAAATTATATTAATTTAATAAAATTAAGCATTTATTTAATCAAATAAACATTACATTTAATATAGAAAAACATTACATCTAATATAAAATGATAAAATTAAACAGTTATTTTAGTTTATGTTACATTTTCTTTTAATTTTAGTGTTTTTAAATTAGTGTTAATTTTTATTTTGAGTTATTGTAGTTTAACATTTGCTTTGAATAAAGTTTTATTTTTAATTTTTCATCATTTTTTTAGTTTTATCATTATTATGAATTTATTATTATAAATAATAATCAAATTAAATTAAATACAAATAATCAAATTTGGTGTGATTTTTGGTATAAAATTTAATACTCAAATTAACTTCAAAAAAAAAAAAAAAAAGCAAAATCAAAAAAAAGAAAAAAAATTATTAGCGCTACAGTGCCACACCAAATGGCGTGGCGTTTGGCGTGGGTTGGAGCAACAACCCACGCCATTTGGCGTGGGTTGGAGATGCCAGTAGGGTTTTTGTGAAAATTTTGTTACTTGTTTGGTTAGGAAAGCGTAGAAGAGTTTTTTAGTATTAATTTAGCAAATATGGCTTTTATATATAAGAATAAATCAAATTAAATTTATAAAATATAATAAGGACATTTTTAAAATTTTAGTACTTCAAATAACCTTTAAAAGAGCTTATGGGAGAACCTTACGTTTGAGCTTTTCTTATGAACCATAAAATATCTTATTTAAAATCCTATAAACATTTTTTAAATGCAATCAAATAGCTTAAAACAAAAGTGTTTATAGCTTTAAATAAACTTTTTTAATCAATATGTAAATAGGGGTGTAATCAAGTCTGAATCGAGTTTTATCTTAATCGAGTTTGGCTCAAGTTGAATAGTGTTGAGCTCGAGCTTGACAAGTCCAAAAAAATAAAAATTATGCTCAAGCTGGAGCCCGGGTAAAAGAAGAATATATAATTTTGTCACGAGGTTCAGTTGATTAATAAGATTGGATCACACTTTGAGAAAAAACAAAAAAAAATACATTAATATAATTATAATAAATAAGTAAACATACATTAGTATAATTATATGTTTTGGAAATTGTCATGAGGTTCAAAGGATAAATTACACAGCAAAAGAACAAACCCGCTATTAGAAAACAATTTCCAAAAACAAAATAAAATTTCGATTACAGAAGATACATTAAAACACAAAGCGATACACAAACAGATGATAAAAGTACAAAAGCCAGAATTAGAAACGAAAGTAGGCGAACAAGGAAGCACGGGAGAAGAGAGTTGTTGTTACCTCAGATCATGGGCAAATCGAAACAACAGAAGGAACCGAAAAGTTAAGGAAAGGAAGAGAGAAAGGACTTGAAAGAGAAGTGAAACGCGGCTTTGAATGTCGTGAAGAGGGTGCGTGGTGTTGCAGAGAAGAGGAAATTGAACAGGGGAGGTTGCGTGTGGGAAATTTAATTATATCTTCCGAGCCACGTATTAAGTTGAATTAATATAATTATAATAAACAAGTAAAGCAGAGGTTCTACTCAAAACCATTAGAGGATATAATTAATTATAGAGGGAAAGAGAACAATTAGGAACAGGAACTAAACAAAATACTTTCTTATTGTAACCGAATCCAAATTTAACAATAATCTAATATCATCAATAAAAGAACTTCCTATGCTGAATTGATATAAATTCTAAACCTAACTGCATAAAGGAAAAGATATAAATTCTAACAAACAGCTTCAACAGCTAATCGATATATCTCAGAATGGCAACCGGTTGGCCCCAAAAATGCTTCTGTCACTGGAATGGAACAACTCTCTTTGCCAAGACATGCCTGCCATTTAATGAGTGCATTTCCATCAAAACAATCTAAACTTTGAAGAAATGAAATAAGGTAATTGGCATAGTATTAGTATTAGTATTAGTATTAGTACCTGTTCAATCACTGATAAAGAGTTGGCTGATTCACATCTGCCTTTCCTAAATGATCCACAAGTACCCTCAGTTTCACCAAAGCTAGCAAATTTAATTTCGGAAAAAACTTTTCCTCCCTGGCATGATAGTTTCAGGGTGCTTCCCTCAAAAGCATTCGCACAAACTTTCCCTACAGTTATGGTTCCGATGTTCACAAGACTAGGAGTGCCTCCAATTTCCTCAAACAAAACCAGGACATTCTCTTCATTGTTGAGAAACTCTCGCGGAATATGGTACCTAAAATTGTCAAAGGAAATACAGAAGTGAGGCTCCAGATATTGTCACTCGAATGCGAAAACATATTAACATGATTCATAAACTTGATTACCATCGCATAGAGGGTTCTCCACAGTTCGTTCTGCAGTTCTCAGCTTTATAAGTCTGGTTGTAATAGCAAACTGAGGGACATCCATCTTTACCAGAAATATAGCTAGGCCAATACCGCCCGATGCTTTTGCCATTCACCCAAGCTTCTCCCTTGCCTAAGCCAAGCAAGTTCACCACTACAGGCTCCTCGCCGAGAGGGGATTTAAATGTAGTCTGAAAGAAAGTAATGTCAAGTCCAAAGATTTGTAATGAAATGAAGAGTTAATATCATACATGAAGAAAATATTACCTTGTACCAAACAAACATCTTATTCGTTGGCAGTCCTTCAGAACTCCATTCAGCTTCGTTTAGCTTTTGAGGATTGTAGGATTCTAATTTTTGACCTTGCAAACCAACCTTATATATCCATTCATTTGAAGATATGTCTTTGGTGTTGTTAGTGCTATGATCAATCAACTTAACAGGACCAAGAATTCCATCTGCTCTTTTATCAAAGTTGGCACCGTAGTTCTGAACAAATTCAAACATCAAGAAAGGTAAATCTTACATGAATTTCCAAACCGAAGCTTGATAATGTAATTGATGCTTACCGGCAATCCCACAGTAGCACTAAGCAGACTGAGTTGATTAGTCCCAAGAGTCAATTGAACATCTTGTTCAAAAACAAAGTCATAGTGACCATTTTGAGCCAATTTTGATCCTGAACAAGAGTTAATGTGATGTTCATGTGTTAGTTCTAGAAAATTGAAAAGCCAAATAATAATGAAATATTAATGCTCTTCATGCTTACCAATGTGCTTTGAGTTGAAAAAGGCATGAAGGATATGTCCACTGGTATTAACTTGCAGAGTAACGTTCTTGCCGACAAAAGCATCTTTCTCATCAACAACAATACTGAAAATATGAAAGAATTGAGAAATAATTCGCTTTTACTTAACCAAATATATGAAATAAATGAAAAATCAGTAGCAAAGCAAAGACAGAAAGACTATTACCTAGTCATATACCACAAGTAGTCACTGGTATCATTTGTTACAGCCTTTTGATCCAACAGTTCGCTTGTAGTCAAATCACTATCAACAACAGTGCCATACTTAATTTCCTCAAAATCCTCATTTTTCCAATCCCATTTCAAATTGGAGGGTTCCTCAGCATCATCAGCTGCATTAGGTTTCTTGACCATTATGGAGGTTTGGCTATTGACCTATTGATGAAACAAAACACAATTCATTCATTTTGATATCATCTTAGTCACAAGATGACTAATTTGACTGTGGAAACATTCACCTTAGCAGTGTTGTAGGCTTCTGTGAAGCAATCAGGAAGAATGGTAACAGACCACGCAGGAACCGTGTAATTTGTGTTCTCAAATTCAACAGTAAATGCATTTGATGAATTTGCATTTCCCAGAAAGCAAACTGATTTTCCTTGATAACTGTAAACAGTGGCCTACAAATAGAAAGGAGATCAATGTTAAGACTGCATAGCATATAACAATCCATATTAAAAAACACTACAAAAACTAGTACTTACCGACATCATATTTCCATAATCAATATCTCTTCTCTCACCATTCAGAAGAGCCTTCTGCACTGATATTAGGACTTCATGAAGTTCTTTAAGATGTCCCCATTTGGGTTGATTCAAATTTCCATATTCATCAAGGGGAGCATCATAGTCATATGAAGTTGTGATGTATGGACCCCCAGATGTATGGCCAAAATTGGTGCCTCCATGATACTAAAAGCATGAAAAAGAAAACATTAGCATACAAATTTCATAGCAAAATATTGTGATTTCTCTTTCAATATATGCTAACCATATAATAATTCATCAAACTGCCGCCATATTGGAAGAAACGACCAACAGCGAAAGCAAGATCTTCAGCAGGCCTGTGTGGATAAGAGTCACCCCAGCCCTTAAACCTGCAAAAGTTATTAACAAAATCAAGCCATTCAATTCATTACAACAACAATAATTTTAAGATTTTCAAGAGATTGAGAGGAAGAAAGTTAAGTTACCAGCCACTCCAGTTCTCAGTCCATATTTTAGGGCTATTTTTTCTGTTGGGGGAGAATTGATCACAGTAAAAGCCATTACATGTGTTAATCTGTATGAAAAATAAAACTTAATCAGATAAAGCTCTAGGAAAAATTAAAATAATGTGATAGAAAAATAAATGAAGTAGAGAACCATTGGCTCTGGAGCATCATCCTGTTGACACATGATCCAAGGAACACCAATGTTATAACTTTGAGCCAATTCAGCACACCAATTTACATAAGCCTTTCCATCTTCTCCATATTCCCACATTATATTTCCATATTCATTTTCAATCTGTACCAGAAATTTTATAAAATAAATAAATTTAATATTATTATGAGACAAACATATACAGAACAGGGAAAAATGGAAAAGAAATGTAGAAACCTGAGCAAGAATTATAGGTCCTCCTTGTGAAGCAAATAGCTTCTCATCCTTCATCATATTCACTATTAAGGTTGTGAAATTTTGCATCTCATTCTGAATGCAAGTTAAAAGAAAAGTACAAAATTAGTTTTAAAAAAAAAGATTATATATATATATATATATTTTTTTTTTTTTATAAAGAAATTATATAAACTATAAAGCAAAAATTTTGTACCTTAAAAACTTCATTATTTGTTCTAAGAGTAATGTTTGGCATATTATGCAACCAAACGGGAAAACCTCTGTAACAAATTGAAAAGAAAAAAAGAATCAAAATAATTATAAAAAAAGTAACAAATTATATAATGAATTGTAACTTATTATTATATCATAATTAATAAATCACCCAAAATTCCACTCAGCACAAACATATGGTCCTATGCGAAGAATAGCATGAAGCCCTTGATCTTGAATGGTTTTAATGAACCTAACAAGGTCAAGATTTCCTGAAAAATCATACTAAATCAAAGAGGAAAAAAAAGTCAGAAACCCATATTATAACCCCCAAAAAAAAAGGGTTAAAACATTGAAAGCAAGATAATTAATAAACCTCACGACGAGAAGGCTCATGAGCATTCCAAAATACATAAGTTTCAATGGCATTGAGGCCACCTTCTTTTGATTTCTGGATAAGGGATGGCCACATCTATATAGCACATAATGTATGCATTTAAAACATTAGAAAAGACAAAATAAAATTCTATAATGAAATAATAAGCTGAAAAAGTGATTACTTGAGGAGTGCTTCGAGGGTAATGAATGGAACCAGATAATATAAGTTGCCTTTCTCCATCAATCATCAGACTTGAACCATCATATGTAATCTCAGAAGCTGAAACAAAAGAAAAAATGGCACACAGCAAAAGAACAACAAGTGCATTACAAGGACTCATATTTCTGGACATTTTCAGAATGCTGTGAAAGTGTGAATTACACACTTATAACAAAGACGTAAATATCATCTCAAATTGTCTTACTCTATTAATACTTTACCAATATGATTTCAACCACTTTGTCTTTCTGATTACTATGAATAGTCTTAAATAGAGGTTCAAGAAAATTGTAAAAATATCAATAAATAGAAATATCATTCGTACTTAAGTCCCCGCCTCCCACCCCCCCAGTTCCTCCCAGTTGAACTGAAACTTTTTAAGTACGAATGCTATTTCTATTTATTTACTAGTTTGAAATATTAATAGAATTTACTTTTGACAAAGAACTATCTCTATTTAGGGTATTTAATAGAGGGACATTTGGATCTGATATATATCAAATATAATAGAGTAAAAGTGACTTTTATAAATCATTATACCATAATAACAAAACGTATTTTACTCTACTGAGGTTAGAGATTGCTGGTGGGAAGAATTAATTAGTTTGAAGAACAGATTTTCCTTTTAAGATATTATAAGAATTATCATTAACTCTATATAGTGATTTGGTACCATTTTGTTTCGGTATTTTTTATTTCTTTTGTTGATAATGATGAAGGTTACATTTTGATGATCCGTTATCTATAATTATTAGCTATCTACACAACACCCGAATACATGAATTTATTGATAGCATTAAAATTTAAAACTCTGTATAAACCTAAATAAATAAATTAAAATTATTGCTTTAGTCTCTCTCTCTCTCTCTCTCTCTCTCTCTCTCTCTCTCTCTCTCTCTCTCTATATATATATATATATATTAAGATGTTAATTTTATTTCATCAATGATAATTAAGTGAACCAACTAAAATAAAACAATTAAAAAAAAAGAGAGAGAGAGAATTTCATATTAAATACAAAACTTTTTTTTTTTTTTTTTGTCAACGGAGTGTTTAGACCAACTTATGTGCATCTTGACTAGTCCCTCGACTCCAAACAAGGCTTTAAAAATAGTACAAACTTGCAGTCCATGATCAACAATATTAACAACCGTTCTTGTGATTTGAACCTGAGACCACAAAGAGAGCAAACCCCTTGTCTCCAAACCTTTACCACTCAGCCAACCCATTATGGGTTATTAAATACAAAACTTTATATGGGCAGTTGTATGTATCCATATTAATTTGATTCTAAATTAAATAAATTATAATTAAAGTTGAATAGGACTTGTACAAGTATCATTTTACGTAGTAGAGTTTTTTATTTGAATGTCTCAGTACTGATAAAATACCCAAAATAAAAAATAGAAAGAAAAGGAAAACATACAAAAGGATATAACTATAAAATTGATGTTATATTTTAGAAGTGGTATATAATAGGATAATTATTATAAGGCTTGAAATATTTACATTTGTTTCAAGCAAAACTCAATGTTCTATTTAATTATTGAAAGTTCACTTGAAATTAAAATTATTTATTTAGTAAAAACAATTTGGCTCACGGACTCTAAGACCATCTCCAACCCATTGCACCAAATTGGTGCAAATTTTGGTGCAAAACACTATTCCATCTTCAACCCACAACACCAAATATTACACTAAAAAGAATATTCTTTAGAATATTCTTTTTTTCTTCTTTTATTGTAATAATCAACAATTAATCTATTTCACTCATTATTTTTGTATATATTAATTAAATATTGGGAATGATATTTTTATTAAATAATAATTATTTTGAAAATTATACTAATTTAATAAAATTAAACATTTATTTAATCAAATAAACATTACATTTAATATAGAAAAACTTACATCTAATATAAAATGATACAAAAAAAAAAAAAAAAAAAAAAAACACACAACACAAAGGTATTCATTTGATAGTAATTTAATTTTCCGAATTAGTATGTTCTTCCCACAAATGATCAATTAATGCATTTCGAAAAGCATGGTGAACCTCTGTATCCTTGATTTGTTTATGTCGAGCAACAAAATTTCGAAATCAGCTTCTCAATTTGGTGTTAATTTTATTTAAGTTTTTGTAGTTTTATATTTGCCTTGAATAAAGTTCTATTTTTAATTTTCATCATTTTTTGAATTATATCATTATTGTGAATTTATTATTATAATAATAATCAAATTAAATTAAATACAAATAATCAATTTGGTGTGATTTTTTGTGTAAATTTAATACTCAAATTAACTTAACAAACAAAACGAAAAAAAACAAAACAAAAAAAAAGCAAATTAAAAAAAAAAAAAATTATTGGGCGCTACAACACCACAACAAATGGCGTGGCGCTTTGGTGTGGGTTGGAGCACCAACCCACACCATTTTGGTGTTCTTTATACTATTTTTGTGTGGGTTGGAGATGCCATAACTCTCTACTGAAATGGGATTTATTGTAAGTAGACTCAAGACTTATTATAAATCTACTTACAATAACTCCATCTTAATTACAATTATTTTTAAAATTGTTATAGTTTTGGTGTATTATGTGGCCCTTATTAAAGTTCTTGGACGTACATTAAGTAGACTCAAGACTTATTATATGTATGTATGTATGTATGTACATAGTAAGCATGATCAAGGGCAGAGGGAGGGGAAGTCAAACCCAACCCGACCCAGGATATTTACCAATTGTGCTTTTCATTTTGAAGAGTATATTTCATATAAATAAAGAGTATCTTTATTAATTTCTAAATATAAATAAGACAATTTTTATTCAAATCTAACATACTCTTTAAATTTAATGAAGATGCTCTTTATTTTCAAGAAAGATACTTAATGAAAAAGAGAATTAATAAATAAAATACATAAAAACTTATAGTTTATTAATTAAAATTAGGATATATAGTGAAATTTGACTCTTTAGATGTAGAGAGTCAAACTCACTTTTTAATTTATATTTTAAAAATAAAGAGTCTATTGGATTCTTATTTTTATGGATAGACTTTTTATAATAAAATGTTTATGTCATATAAAGAGTCATTTGAAAATACTCTTAAATGCCTTGTTGTATGTTGATGTAATTTAACACTTGGCCAATAAGTCCTTAAATAATACTTTAAATCTCAAAGACTCTACATTCTAAAGAAGAAGAAGAAAAAAAAAAAAAAAATGAGTAAAGAGAGCGCTTATATTCATATGAATATGCATCGTAAATCGATCAGCTTAGGCTGTGGAAGACAACTGTTTCTGCTTGCACAAACCATTCACTTCGACAATTGGCTACATTGCCGGATATTTATTGCTTCAATTAATCAAATATTTATCATAAGCCTTTGCTTTTTTCTTTATTTTTTATTTTCTGATAAGAACAATGCTTAACGGAGCGCTGATGAATGAATAGAGACAACGAGAAGACACGTACATAACTTAATCAATGTTTTGTTTTGGGACTCACCATATAAAGTTGACCGTTGTTTTTATTTTTATTTAAATTGTAATTAAACCATGTGAATCAGTGATGGGTTGAAACCATAAACTTATCAAATTATTACAAAATTTGGATATCAAATATGGAAGAATAATGTATAATAATTTGTGCTAAACTTTTATAATTAACAACTATTACTTTTAGTCTATTTGATAGCCGTAATATAGTTTAACATGAAAAATATAAGAGTATTTCATATTTATTTGCAAGTCTTTTAGTAATACATACTTTATAATATTTACTTTAAAATTGTCTTAAATGTTCAAGAGAAAAATATTTCAAGATGCTAAACATCTATAATGGTCAACCACATGATCAAGATTCAAGAGAGGTTAACATTAATATCCAATTAATGGTAAGTTGGTAATCTTTAATATGGAAAAAAATTATATGAGATTGCATTAATTACTTTTCTATTATCAGGATTGATATATTGCATATCCAAGGTTTAATATATTTTTTTGTACTTTGGATTACTCTCTTTGTTTCTATATAATTGTCGTTTTAAGTCTCTGCACAGTTTTTAATGAATCAATTTTATATTTTCTCAAATTGATTTTTTTCTTTGATATTGCAGGTGGGAAAATTTTGTTTTTCCGATTGCACACGTGTAAAATATTAAAAGAGGGAGAGGAGATGTGGGCCATAGAAAAAAGTGGAGAGAGGAGATAAGGTTCAAGAGATGTGGGCGATGGAAAAGATAGATAAAGAGAAAGAAGAGATGTGGGCCATAGCAAAAAGTGGAGAGAGGAGATGATGGGCAAAGTAGAGAATGGAGATGTGAGTCAGAAAAACATTGAAAGAGAAAAGACAACGTCATTTATTTTAAAAAAAAGTTAATACCCTCAAAATGACATTTATAAAGAAACAGAAAGAGTATTTATCATTAGGTTTTATCGAATTGATCTCATATTATGTTATATTTATTTTACGATAATTCTTTTTAAATCGATTACTGAATCTTTAATAAACCAAGATTCTTATATATATAGGCTTACACAGAGATAAAAGATGGATGTGGTGATGGGGATGATCCTTAAATTTGGTGGAATAATGGAACGGTTACACGTGAATATGAGATCACATTCAATAAATATTTTCTGAAATTAGAATGCTGAGGCACCGTAACATGTTCTAATTTGACAAATATGTTGCTAGGCGGTTGGACTTTATATTATAATTTATATATGTTACAGCCATCCATAATTTATTGTGCTGACTTTTATTTATGATTATATGCAGAGAAACATTTATTGAAATTAATCTATTTTCGATAATTTAAAATTATGTTCATTCAATGTCATTCATGCCAAAATTTAGACATAAAATTAGATGATAGTATCGAGTTCTTTAACTTTTTGAATAAAATGAAAAAGAAAATAGAAAATAGAGGAGAAAATTGGTAAAAATGGAATAACTGAGTTGCCCGTTGCCGAATTAAATGAGAGGTGGCAACTGGCAATAAGCACGAGAGTCCATAAAGAAGACAATGCATAATATCTGAAAGACAAAAATGCCCTTCTGTTTTTCGTTTATGCTCATCACTTAAAATAAACAATGGTTTCCAAGAAGAGAAAATAACAGCTCTTTATACCTGTAATGTTCACTCTCGCGAGTACCCAAAGAAACTCTACTGTCTTTACTTTAACTGCCACATAGCAACAAGAAGTCATTCTTAATAAACGTTTTGTCTTATTATATGCATCATAAAGTATATCCTATACATTTTTTTTTTTCTGTTTTCTTTTTTACACATTTTATTTTGTGCTCAGCTATGTATTAATAAGTATTTTTTTTTTTTTATATGGAATTTTGGGAAAAATAAAGAATGATATTTGAAATTTTGGTGTATATCTAAAAACTAAGCGTAAAAACACTGTCTATAATTAACCTCAAGGTTTTAATAGTGTAAAAAAAAAAAATCAAACCGTATCTTTATAAGCCATTACATAAAAATGATTAGTTATTAAAAAAAAAACTACATAAATTATATCCTCTTAATATGGAATATTAACCATATTCCAATATTATATAAGTATATAACAAACATCAAATTTATAATGTTAGATTCTCGTTATTATTATTATTATTATTATTTATGAATTATGGGGTAAATAACTGGAATTCCCTGAGATTTAAGAAAATCTCCAGAACCCCACGGGTTTGGGTAAGTTATAATGACCTCCTTTCAAGTTTTGTGAAAAACCACCACTAAACTTATATTGGTGATCTCTATCAAATAATGATAAAATGAAATTAAGAAGGAAAAAATACAAAATTGACCTTCAATGCACATTATTAAGAACATTTATTTTTCGATTGCTCATATTTTATTTAATAAATATAACAAAAATTAATTCAAAATAGGAAGAATATTGGTGAAGAACAAAACCTTCGTTCAATAATATTTATGACTCTTTTCTCATTCTATAGCACATAAAGTGTTTTTAATTATTAATTATTTTAAAATATCATATAAACTTATTGTTAGTTAATATGTTTGAGGTGAGGCAAACGATGGTATTCAAAATCTTAGGGGAGATAGGGAATTTAGTATATTTTTTGAAATCTCATGAGTACTTAAACATTACAAAAATTATTTTTTTGATTTCTTATTTTATAATTCACGTTTTAGTAATATGTATTAGGATTTTAATTCATTATTTTAGTAGTCATTGCTACAATTAGACAATAAAAGAAAGGAAATAATCATGAAGATGATAGTACAAAAATAGAAAAAGTATCCTGCAAAAAAGCTTTAAATATGCTTGAAAAGTTAGAAATATTTTAGCTTAAACAAGAAGATGTTCATGCTATCGAGTTATTATGTACTTACAAGTTAAAATAAGTGGTAATAATTCTAAAATATAAATCATTATCCCAACCAACTTTAAATAAATATTTTATTTCATCTTAAATTTTTAGTGTAACATAAATTTTTTTTTTTTTTTTTTACAATATATAGATAATTATTACTATATGAAGACAATTTTCGTAAATAGGAATTAGAAAAAATATAACTTATTATAATATAAAATTTATTCTTATTTATAACTATGCTAAATTGATAATATAATTTTTAAAGGTTATTCTTATAGAGCATAGTACAAATGGATTTTACCGTATTAGAAATAAGACATCTTAAACATGTATATTATTTCACAAAGTTTGATGCTTGTTGCATAAATACCGGAACATAGTCAAAGCCAATGACCTCACGGCAACAATAAAAATGTGAAGCGCGTGCAATAACATTGGCGTATGACGCCGCTAGTATTTAGAAAAAAAAAAAAAAAGGTGGGTGCCAGAGGCAGTGGGGGGAAGGGTAAAGTGGGAAAGTAGTAAAGTTTGCATGAGGAACTCGCATACAGAGGGCACTACGAGCGGACGCTTGGCGTGATTCTGAAACCATTAATCTCCAGATGTTCCAAAAACTCCCCGGCCTCTCTTGCTTTTATTACTTTCAATTGCAGAAACAGAAACAAAATCTCAAGTCATAGTCACTGAGAAAGAGAAAAGAAACAAAAATCTTTGATAAAAATGGGAGAAGGTTACAAAAACTGCTGTACATGGTGGTCTTCCTCATCGTCTTCAATGAAGCTGTTGTTGTTTATGGTTCCATTAATGATAGTTGCATCTGGGTTTGTTTCTATTTTGGGTTCTAAAACTTCCACTTGGGTTGTATTTCCAAACCATTCTTGGTCATCTTTTTCCTCTTCTTCTTCTTCTGAAACTCGAGAGAGTTCTGCAAAAGAGAGCGAGGAGATGGTTGATTTGCATTCAAGAATGGTAATGGTAGGCGTTCAGGATAAGGAAGAAGCTCTTCTAAATGTTGATCAGCCTATTCTCAACAAATCGTCTTCCCCTCCTCTTCCTGTAGAAGCCGTGCAAGTTCAGCAATCAGTAAGACCATTTTTTCTCTTTTTGTCTTTGGCATGTGAAATTAAGTCTGTTTCTTGAGAACATCAAATTATTAATACTTTTCATTTAATACAGAAACTTTAGAGGTAGTTAATTTATTATTAAGTTTGTTTATTTATTTGGCTATATTATTCTTTTATTTAACTTTTCTGGGTGTATATTAGCAAAATAATAATTTATAATTAGTTATTTAAACAGGATGGTTCAGTGTTGGAAGATGGCTTGAAAATTTCAATGGCTGAGACTCCCAAGGTTGCTCCCATGAGTGAATCTGTGTCTGTTCCTATGAAAGCAATGCGACCAAAAGTACTTACAAAATTGGAGAAGCTGGAAGCTGGTCTCCAGAGAGCAAGAGTTGCAATTAAAGAAGCTTCAAATGGAAATCAAACTGATCCTCAAGACCCTGATTTCGTCCCTCCAGGCCCTATGTATTGGGATTCCAAAGCCTTTCACAGGTATAATTGTATACACCATTTTCAAAGATTATCCTAATTTTAAACCGTGGCAATTTGAACTACGTACATCTCATATCTTGAATTGCTGTTAAGAGGATCACTGGTTCCAAATATGGAATGCGGCATGATGTGCTAGGCCAATGCGTGGGAATGAGGCAAGATGTTATATTGTTCAAAGAGTTCAGAAAACTATATAAAGGCTAATTAAAGAATTTGATGAACTAAGAATAGTAAGAGATATTATCAATTGCTTACTTGATTCTTGTGCATGAGATGGTTGCTATAATGTAGCTTTCCACTTCAAATCCGGTCCGTCCAACAATCAAAAGCATACAAATAGAGGCTTGATCGAGACATGTTAGAAGAGATAACATAGTCTGCTTCTTAATGTTAATCATAGCCATATCTGCATCTTGCAACCTATTGATGTATATTCACATATTTGTCAATAAGCTTAAGGGACCCTTGATTTTGCTTTTATTTTGTTTTTATTTACTGTTTTAGTATTTTCCGATGTTAGTGGGATATGTTTAATAATTCTGCAAGTGCCAAATTGCATATTTGGAACAACATATATGTTTTAGTGTTCAGAGCAGACACTTTAGTTACTTAAGAAGGATCACAAAATCTTCACAATTTGAGAGCAATAAGCTATCATAACAATAATAGTATGGGACTTATGCACTTTATCCTTGGATCAATTTGATAGAAATTGATCCTTCTTCATTCAGATTTTTACAATTTTGAGCATGTGGATTACAATTCTAAGTTCTCCTTGTTGCTTCCTCATATTACAGGAGCTACTTGGAAATGGAAAAACAGTTTAAGGTCTTTGTTTATGAAGAAGGAGAACCGCCAGTTTTTCATGATGGTCCTTGCAAGAGTATATACTCCATGGAGGGAAATTTTATCTATGCTATGGAGGTTAGTAGACAGTTCCGGACCAAAGATCCTGAGAAAGCACAAGTTTTCTTCCTTCCCTTCAGTGTGGCGAAGATGGTCCAATTTGTCTATGTGCGCGATTCGCATGATTTTGGTCCCATTAGGAAGACAGTCGTTGACTATGTCAATCTTATTGCTTCAAGATACCCTTACTGGAATCGAAGCCTCGGCGCTGATCATTTTATGCTTGCCTGCCATGATTGGGTAAGTGGTGACAGCTTTATACCTTATATTCTGCTGCATTTGCAATTTCCGAAATAGACATCAGTAGAAAGGATAACAATTGATGCCTTATTTTATCTTGAACTCTGTCTAAACCTAATTTGGTCAGTTTACATCACGAATTGTTCTAATTTGTAACATGTACCCATCTTATAAGTAATCACTTACTAAGTCTAATTAGTCTAATTAAGTAAGGTCAATATTGTATCACATGGGAGATTATATATACTTCGAATATTATTACGGGCATGCTTTATTATAATTAATTTTACAATTCTCTTAAGATAATGAATTTCTATAGTATTCAAATTGTAGTCACAAGCATTTGAAACAAAAATGTGTAATATTTAAGTATTTATAATGGTTGCAGGGGCCAGAAACTTCTTTTTCTGTACCTAACCTACAGAAAAACTCCATTCGAGCCTTATGCAATGCCAACACTTCCGAAAAGTTCAGCCCCATGAAGGATGTATCATTTCCAGAAATCAATCTCCGAACAGGCAAAATAAACGGCCTGGTTGGTGGACCATCCCCATCTCGACGATCAATCTTGGCCTTCTTCGCAGGAGGCGTTCACGGTCCAATCAGATCTGTCCTTCTCGAGCATTGGGAAAATGAGGACGAAGACATTAGGGTACAAAAATACCTTCCGAAAGGAGTCTCATACTATGACATGATGAGAAAAAGCAAGTTCTGCCTTTGCCCTAGTGGCTACGAAGTCGCAAGCCCAAGAGTTGTCGAGGCAATATACACCGGGTGTGTTCCCGTGCTGATTTCTGAACATTATGTGCCACCATTTAGCGATGTTCTGAATTGGAAGTCATTTTCTGTGGAGGTTTCTATGAGTGATATTCCAAATCTAAAGAGAATATTATCGAGCATATCTACAAGACAATACATAAGAATGTACAGGAGAGTGGTGCAGGTAAGAGGACATTTCGAATTCAATTCTCCTCCAAAGAGATTTGATGTGTTTCATATGATTCTTCATTCTATTTGGCTTAGAAGACTAAACGTTAGAATCCATAATGATCAAAGTGGTGTGACCAATTGATGAATAAAAAATGGTTCAGTTTCTGATTGGTGTTTGGAGTTGGGAAATTCTTTGGCTTTCTGGTGAAGTAGCTAATAAGCTTATCTAAGCAAATAAATGGTTTCTTCTTTCCTTTTGTTTGTTTTTATTTCTTTATGGTGTTGATAATCATTTTGGTTTGTAAACTTGGTAATTTTCATGGAGGAGTAAATCTGTATTATTTGTTGTACTGCCACTGCCAGTAGGCATTATCAACGATATTTAGGAGTACTTTTTTACTTTTAATGTATTTATTATTCAATTTCTAATTTTCCAAGGTCTCTGGTGTATACTGATACCATAATTAACGGCATAATGTACCGTTATTTTAAAACTTAAATAAAAATACGAGCATATTAGAAGCGGTACTGGTTTTTCTCAAGCATTTTCTGGTTGCTTCTAGACTTATTAAAACAATCCAAGGTTGCAAGTTTAAATTATTAATTTGTTGAGAGAGAACAATTAGAATATTCACGCTTCATTAAATCACTTGAGAGTAATGGTGTTATTTAAGTTCCCACTAAATCACTTTCGAAGCAACATTAATAATATTTTTAAAAATTTAATTTATAAATATTTTTATGTTTCATTCTAAGATTATCCTTCTCTAATAGTTTTTGTTAATTCTATCATCCCTATCTTTTTCTCTTGGGTTGATTTCAGTCAGCGTTTTTCTTTGTTGATAAAGTTTGAGTCTGCTTCCTTTTGAATTTCTATTTTCTGTCTTATTTTTATTCTTAGGGTTTGTTTGTTTTTTTAACTTAAGTTTGAATACGATTTAAATTGCATCTTTTAGATATTTCGTAGTGTTTGTTTTTAACTTAATGCCAACTTTTTCTATGAAATTAAGTGAATTGAATAAGCTTTTTTTTTTTTTTTTTTATTAACTTTTCAATTAATGGGAAAATATCTCAATGGTTGATTGTTTTATTTAGACAACATTATCCTTGTATATTATAAATGATTACATCCCTACTAATTCCACTTACATCTTAATATTTTTCATCATATAAATCAACATTATTTATTTTAAAGTACTTGTTTATCAGATGCCATTATGCTAATAATTATTTAAAAAAACTGGAAATGTTGATTTTAACATAAATCATATCATATTTGTGAAGTTATTAGCTTTTATATTTTTTAAACTAATCAAATTTAAAGCATTATTTAACTAAAATAATATTTTATATAATTTACCAAAAAGATAATTTTAGATCTTTTTATTTGCAAAAGACAAACAACTGTGGTGACATGCAAATATAGAATGTTGATATTTTATTTCCTTACCTAGAGATATTACAAACATGAAACATTATTGTGAGATAACCGATCTATTTCCTTACTAGAGAGATTACAAATATTATTGTAAGATATTCTATTTCCTTACTTAGAGATATTACAAACATTATTGTAAGATTATTTTTTCTTACATAGTCACTGCACATTTGTATAAATAAGTGATATGAATACATATAAAAACACAATCCAATAAAATACAATTCTTTCTTCTCAATGTATTTCTTGGGTATACTTTAACTCTATTCAATTGTCTCTCTTGCTCTCTCAATTTTGACATGGTATCAGAGCTCATTTTATAATCAAGCTTCTGTTAATCAACCCACTCTAGCCTTAAGTTCTACTTCAGCCTACAAGACATATAGACACTTGGTTAGATAACCAAACAAGGTCAAACTCAACACTCTCTACATCAGCAACTCAGATGGACACAAGCAAAAATCAACTAGGATAGGAACTAGTTTTGGACAATCCACATTTAGGAGCCCAAATTGAATCCACAACAACTTCGAATGGGCTTACCCAACCAGGCCCAAAACAGACACCTCAGGGAATGGCCCACCAGGGACAAGAAATTGATCAAGCCCACAAAACTAGGTCGAGACCAAATTTTTGATTTGGGTTTACAATTCCAAACTCAAGCCAACTAAGTCCAAGTCCTTTCCGGTTTGCGGGTCAATAATCGGGTTAAGAAGGTCAAAATCCCTACCTGTTCACCTTCCAACTTGTCCTAGCCATCAACAGCCGACCGGAACCTAGTGATGCACTGTACTCTTCGGCTTCAAATGGACCAGAACTCGTCCTTGTCAAATAGCCCCTCACAAGATCAAAGAACTACGCAACTTGGGCTTGTGATTTCCAATGAGCCTTGGTGACAAAGGACGAGGACAAATTCCTTAACGGAACTGTCCCTTTTCCTGTCGAGCGACATCTTTCCAAACACTAGACCCGATGCAATATGTTGGTTCGATCATGGATAAGCAACTGCTTATCCTAAGTTGTTGCTGCCAGTCTTCCACCTATTGAAACCGCCAAGGAGATGTGGGCCAACATCAAGGAGATGTATGACCAACTCGATCTGGCAAAAATTTCCACTTTTCGGCAAAGCCTTGCCAAGATCAAGCAAAATAATTTGACGATCGTGACATGCTTCAATTAGTTGATAAGATACTTCAATAAGTTGAGATGGCAACGCTAGTGATAGCAGTAGCGCGCGACGCAATAGGTGGTTTGTGCAAGCGCACACTCGATCGTGGTTCCTCCAATAGTTGTGGGCTGTGAATGGGGGTGGGGAACAATGAGGGGGCTTCAATGGTGGTTGGGGTGGTGGTTGATGGCAGGATGTGCTGACTTGCTAGAGGTCATGCAACATGAAGGAAAAGGGATCTAGGTGTGGAGAGGATAATTCTGTGATAAAATTTAACATATGCAACATTATTTACCGAGGCAAGGTGAAGAGACCTTTATCCCCATCTCCCCCATCCTCTAGGATGAGGAATTTTCTAGGGATGGGCATTGGTCTGGTCAGAGCTAGGGACCCTTGTCTTTTTGTTCTGCCTAAAAGTCCAAGGGAATTCACCAAACTTGGCCCGATCCATGAACGGGGATTTTGAGGAATCCTTGAAATCCCAGTTGAGATATGGGGAATCTCGAGCACCTCTTGGCCAGCCCCAAATTGGGGGATTTTGCAGCCTTGAGCCTACCTTATTTTTCCTCAAAATTATAATGTATATCATCCAAAAAGAAATGAACTTAAATTTATAATGTATATATTAAACATAAATTTATTGACCATCATAATAAATTTATAATATATCATCCAAAAAGAAATGAACTTAAATTTTGTATTTTTTTTTGTGACTGAGAGTGTTTGGGCCAACTTATGTACGTCTCAACTAATCCCCTGGGGTCTTGAAGTTGATAGCTGCATAAATCCCTTCAATGGCTACCCCTATTGACAACCCATGTAGATTGAACTCAGGATCTCTTGAGTAATATACATAAAAGTCCTATGAACTTAAATTTATAATGTAATATATCATTATATTACAAATTTATACTCCAAATTTAGAAGGGAACTCTAGAATAGTACCCACATCACACTATCAAGTTCACTATAATGTAATATATCATTATATTATAATGAACTTAAATTTGATTCCAAATTAACCAAAAGGAAACAATCATGCACAACTCAAAAGTCAATTGAAAAAAAAAAAAAAGACAAAAAGACAAAAAAATGCCATTCATATTTCATAAGGAGCCAAAAGGACCCCACATCACACAATCAAGATTCAAGATTCAAGAGCAACACCCAGACCACAGCACTTAACATTCCATGTGCAGCCCACAAGCAACCTGTAGACAAATTTTGAATAATTACATACCTAAAAAAAAAATCCAAAACATATTAAATTGCATACTATTAAAATATTGAGAAATAAATTTGTCAAATAAGAAATCCAAAACATTTCACCAAAAGCATAAATATCATCAAAATTATGCCACTTCGATTTCCTCCTAAACAAGCGAAAAAAATAAATTAGATGATATTTAAGTAACATGTACACAAATTTTAACTATCATATGAATTACTAAAGAAGAGGAAAGAAAAAAAAAAAATACATTATGAATCTATAATACCTCATTGTTTGCATCATTGTCATCATAAATTGATGAACAAGATCCATGCCCTGGACCTGACATAATAGTAAACAATAAACATTAAAAACTAGAATATGTTAATAAATTTTTTTAATTTTTAATGTTGAAGAAATAAAAAAAAAAAATTTGATTACATTTTATGTCAACCCATTTCCAATTCTGTAAACACATCAACACCTCTAATGTATCAGAATGAAGCTTGTTGCGATGTGGACTCAGTATGTTGCCAACTATGCTAAATGTAGACTCAGAAGCAACTATGGACACGGGAATAGCTAGGATATCTTGAGCAATCCTTTGTAGGATAGGATATTTAGCCCCGTGTAACCTCCACCAAGTCTATAGATCAAAGTCTGGAGTTCTAGGAATAATTTTCTCCTCTAAGTAACATTCCAACTCAGACCTTTCTTAGCCAATACTAGATTCTTCATCCAAAAATTTATCCAAACTAGCTAGTACCCCCATTCTTTCAAACTCATCCTGAGAAAAGGTACCAAAGGATGCAGTGAAAGATTATTGTGTTTGACAACTTTGATGGTTACTCCAATACTGAACATACAAATCATTACATAATCTTCGGATCCTCATAATCTCATGTGGACCATCCTCTCCACAGATCAAAGGAAAAAAGAAGTCTACAACTTCAATTTAAACCTAGGGTCTAAAACCATTGCAATCCCCATGACACCATGAATCATACTCCAATTCTTGTTTAACTTTTCATCCATCTAAGTCGCCATCTTCCTTATCAAATCATCCCCATTTGTGAGCAACTAGTCACATGAAGTCTAATTTAAAAAATCTTAGGAAAATAAGTACTGGCAGTGGGAAATTTTGTTCTAGAGAATATGAGTGTGGTTTCATAAAATATTTCTAGCTTTTCACAACATCAAAATAATGGAATACAAAGTTTATAGAGGCACTCACAGTCATAGGCTTCACATAGTCCAAACACGACTATGCACTTTTCTCACGGCATCATGGTGAATCTTTTATTAGTCTCATAATATATGTTGATG